ACTCACTTGGTAGCCCAGGCTGGCCTCGAACTCACAGAGATCTGCCTGGCTCTGCCTCCCGAGTGCTGGGATTAAAGGCGTGGGCCACCACCGCCCGGCTAGGGAAGACTTTTAAAGATGGATATTGAAGGCCGGGCAGTGGCGGCACACACCTTTAATCCCAACACTCGAGAGGCAGAGGCAGGCAGATCTTTGTGAGTTCAAGGCCAGGCTGGTCTACAGAGCGAAATCCAGGAAAGGCACAAAGCTACACAGAGAAACTCTGTCTCAAAAAAACCAAAACCAAAATAAAAATAAAAATAAAGATGGATATTGAAGAAGTAATCCAAAGAATATTTTATATATGCTAAATAACAAGATGAAGAAGTTAGAATGACATGGATATACATTTATTATTTATCAAGAGCAAGGGTTGTTAATAAGTCAGATGTGATTTGAGTTGGCTAATTATGGAGAAAGTTAAACTCTTAATCTGGATTTTAAGGAAGAAATACCTATATATTTATGAGTTATCACAGTGTTTAGCACATCATAAGAAATGAGTTGGAATTATTTTTTTTACCTGGCTGAAGACGAGAGAGAGAGAGAGAGAGAGAGAGAGAGAGAGAGAGAGAGAGAGAGAGAGCGCTAAGAAATAGCAATGACATGAAAACACACCAAAGTGGGGATCAACACTATTAATTCTATTATGTATGGAAGATGACAACTCTGAGAACAGGAGATCAAATGGCTGTTTAAATAGTCAGATAAATATAGTATTGTCAGAAATAAGGACCATTCATGGTAGATAAGGTAAATACGGAAAGGTTTATGAGGATGAATGCTTGATCACTTTGACACATTAGTAAAAAGTATTTTGTCTTGAAAATTTGTGTTGCACAGAAACTTGACTTGGAGGCAGAAATATTAGTTAGACACAACTATGTGCTATTATACACTTTCATATTAAGTATTTGCATTAAATATTGAGGAACTTTGTAAATTGCTTATGAAATCTTTGGCAGTTTGAATATCACCATAGACTTATGCCACTAAAACATGCAAAGGCTATGGAGCATGACTTTAAAAACTAGGCAGCTACTTTATCAAGACAAAACAGAAGCTATTTCATAATTGTACTAAGCAGGGAAAAGATAAATGGGGCTTTGAGTCCTGGAGATGACTAATGTTTAAGAAGAAAGACCTTCATTATTTTACAACCAGCATGGTAATGATGGTGAGAGAGAAAATGGGTTCAAAGAACATCCAAATGTGATTCAGAGATAACATTAAGAAACAGGATAAATGGTGCTGATACTAACACTAAGAACAAAGAACACCACCTAAGGGGTGGAAGGATACTCAGATTGATGTTGATGTTGAACCCCCTTTAGTAAATTCACAGTTATACTAATAGAGAACACCTGCCAAATACTTACTATGAGCTGGAACTTTAAACAGCAAAAGAGAGATAATAATAATTTCCATTTTGTAGATGATCAGAAATAGTCACTGACAAAGATAGCAAGTGGTGGAACTGAATTCTACCTATGCTACCTGGCACTGAATGCAGATTCATAGAAAAGATGTGCATACAGATCAATGATGGCAGTTATGGATCACAGGACAGAGAATGGAAAGCCAGTGGTAAACAATACTAAAAAATTAAGACAACCTAATGTAGCGGGGCCATTTGACGAAGCGTGTGAGATCTCTTTTGGGCTGGATGTCCTGCCCAATGCCGAAGTTCTTAGGCCTTTTCTCAAACAAAGGGTTCACCACCTTTTTGGCCTCCTGCTTCTTGACGACGGCGGGGGCCGGGGCCACCTTCTTCCCCTTGGCCTTCTTTCCCTTGGGCATCTTGCTCGGCTGGAGGAGAGAGAAAGGAAAGGGAATTGTGGGTAATATGTAAGCAGTAGCAGCGGCAAAGAGCCATCCTCTATAAGCGGCTCAAGGTACCTCCTGCCATTAACCAGTTCACACAGGCCCTGGACCGGCAAACAGCTACCCAGCTGCTTAAGCTTGCTCACAAGTACAGGCCAGAGACAAAGCAGGAGAAGAAGCAAAGGCTGCTGGCCCGAGCTGAGAAGAAAGCTGCTGGCAAAGGGGACGTCCCGACTAAAAGACCACCTGTCCTCCGAGCAGGGGTCAATAGAGTCACCACCTTGGTGGAGAACAAGAAGGCTCAGCTGGTGGTCATTGCCCACGATGTAGACCCCATTGAGCTGGTGGTCTTCCTGCCTGCCCTGTGCCAAAAGATGGGGGTCCCCTACTGCATCATCAAGGGAAAGGCCAGGCTGGGGCGGCTGGTCCACAGGAAGACATGCACCACTGTTGCCTTCACACAGGTTAACTCGGAAGACAAGGGTGCTCTGGCTAAGCTGGTGGAAGCTATTAGGACCAATTACAACGACAGATATGATGAGATCCACCGCCACTGGGGAGGCAACGTCCTGGGTCCTAAATCTGTGGCTCGGATTGCCAAGCTGGAAAAGGCAAAGGCCAAAGAACTCGCCACTAAATTGGGTTAAATGTACACTGCTAAGTTTTCTGTACATAAATATAATTACAAACTTATAAAAAAATTTAAGACAAACAAATGGAGAGGTCAAGATAAAATGAAAGACAGAGGAAACATAGATATTGTGGTGATGTATTCTCCAATATATTGTGTACCATAATAAATGTGTTTGGGGTTAGAGAACAGAACAACCACTAGATATAGAGGCCAGAAAATGGTGGCACACACACCTTTAATCCTAGGATTCTCAAGGCAGAGATCCCTCTGGATCTCTGTGAGTTCAAAGAAACACTGGAAACAGCCAGGCATGGTGACATACACCTTTAATCCCAGGAAGTGATGGTAGGAAGCAGAAAGGTATATAAGGCAGACCAGGAACTTGAGCCTAGTTAAGCTTGTAGGCTTTTAAGCAACAGTCTAGCTGAGATCCATTTGGATGAGGACACAGTCTTCCAGTGTGAAGAAAGGATATCAGCTGAGGAATTGGCGAGGTGAGGTAATTGTGGCTGGTTCTGTTTCTCTGATCTTTGAGCATTAACCCCAATAACTGGCTCTGGGTTTGTTTTTATTAATAAGACCTTCTAACAATCATTGTTATAAGATATAGAAAATTTAAAGAGGAATAGGATCAACATAGTTTATGCTAGACACAAATGAGCAAGGGACTCTATTAAAACCCTAGAGATGGCTTTAACAAAAGGTATAATCCAGATACAACAGTCAAAATGTAATTTCTGCTACATGCTGACACAGGGATATACACATTAGCTGTTTCATTTTCAAGAATACAAGAATCCATGAGTTTCAACTATATCTGATAACCCAGAGCAGTAGTACTGAGGAAAATAAGAATTTCATGTAGTTTTGCTTTGTTTTTCTACTATAAACCATGCTTTAGAACAGGCTAAACCAATATTGTTTATTATTTCTTTTTTGTTATAATTCTATGCCCCCAAATAAATTCATGTTGAGTGTGAAAAATCATCTCTTCAAGGAACACATAGGTGGAAATGGGTGGCTCTAAATAAGGTAATGTATTAGAGAAGATGAAGCAAAAAAGATCAACAGCCTTTGAGAGGGCAAAAGTCATGTAAGGCCCTTGAGGGCTATAGGCAAAGATGCGTGACTGGAAAATATAAACACTGTTTTCACTCAATTGCTAGAGTCTTATAGTATCTCTCACTGTCTCCTTCAAGGTCACCAAGGCTGGGAAAAAGAACACCCCTTGCAGATTTGAGGCCAAAAGATGAAGAAAAAAAATGGTGATCCAGAAGGTCAATTAGTACTTTTTACAGTGGAGCTTTTAAAGCAGAGACACCAAGCAATTGGGAATAAACAACAGCTTGAGTAGTACATCCATGCATTTAATAGTTTCCATATCTGATTTGTGATTATGTATTCATTTTCAAAATTTCTTATTGTTCTTTTTTCTATAAAAGTAACACTTGAATTTAATTTCTCTAGTGTAAAAATAATAAAAGTTTATCTTTAAAAGGACATCATTATAAAGTGCTGTATGTAATATATATAATTCATGAGTAAACTGACACTGATGTATTTGTGCTCTGTGGAGCACATAAGATGAAGTACATTCCATCAATGTTGAGTTCTACATTCTGATAGGACTTCCAGAGTTTAAGACCATTAAGATTCTCTCCCACTCTGTGTACTGTGCCTTCTCTCTGTTGATTTTTCTCTCTTCTGTACACAAACTTGAAGCTTTAGGAGGTCCCATTAGTCAACTGTTGATCTTAATTCCTGGATGTATGAAGTCCAATTAAAAAAGTCCTTCTGAACAGAACAGTGTTAGTACAGGCACCAAGGCCAACAATTAATAAATGGGACCTCATGAAACTGGAAAGCTATTACATGGCAAAGCACTCCATCATTGAGACAAGGAACAGTGTACAGAATGGGAAAAGTTTTTGTTTTTGTTTTTGTTTTTTTTTTACCAATTATGCATATGATAGAGGCATAACATCCAAAATATATAAGCTGGGCATGGTGGCACAGGCCTTTAATCATAGCACTCAGAGGCAGAGCCAGGAAGATCTCTATGGGTTTGAGGACGTCATGTTCTACAAAGCAAGATCTAAATGGAGAATTTTCAAAAGAGGAAAATCAAATGGTTGAGAAACACTTAAATGTTCAACATCCTTAGCTATCAGGGAAATGCAAATCAAAACTATTTTGACATTTCATCTAAACCCCTCTGTAGTGATATTTTATTTGTGTTCTAACAAATAAAGCTTGCTTGGGGATCAAAGGAAAAAGCCAGCCACTATATTACACATAGAGGTCAGGCAGTGGTAGCACAGGCCTTTAATCCTAGCATTTGGCAGGCAGAGTTTCATTCGAATCTCTGTGAGTTCAAGGCCACACTGGTAACAGAGCCAGATGTGGTGGCACACACCTTTAATCCCAGCACTAGTTAACCATACAGGTCTGGAGGTCTGTTCAGACAGACAGGAAGTGATAGAGCTAGGTGGAAAGAAGAAAGTGATGTAGCTGGGTGGAAATAGGTAGTAAGATGGCAGGGCACAGAAAGGTATACAGGCATGAGTACACAGGACGTAACTCTCTCTTGGGCTGAGGATTTCCTAGCGGTAAGAACATGTGGCTGTGGCTTATTCTATTCCTCTGATCTTCCAGCTTTTACCCTTATATCTGGCTCTGGTAATTTTTTTTTTATTAATAAGACTGTCTAGCAATTCCTGTTACACCCTTCTGAATGGCAAAGATCACTGTAACAAGTGATAGCCCATGGTGGTGAGGATGTGGAGTAAGAGGAATAGTCATCCATTGCTGGTGGAATGCAAATGTGTACAGCGTTTTCCAGTCTCCTTTAAAGATTTTCAATGTAATTCACATTTTTTTTTCTGAGAAGTCTTTTCAGACTCAAAACAAAAGATTATATCCTTTGCTTTCTCTAGAAAGTTTGTAGTTTAGTGTTTTTCCTTTCATCTATTATCTGGTTTTTCTTATTTTTAAGATCTGAAATGGGATTTACTTTAATATGAATATGGAATTTGTCTCATTAAAATTATTTTTCTTGGTAAATATGCAAGAATTGAATAAACTCTCCTTTCTCCACTTATTTGCTTTTGTCCAAAAGCAGCTTTCTGGATTCTTTACTGTATTTAACCAGTACTTCCTCTGCATTTTAAATGCAAAACTATACAAAAAATATTTGTCTTTACAAAGAACCCAAATAACAGACAAAATGTAATTTTCAATATTTCAAGATATAGAAATCAACATATAAAAAACTGACACTCCCTTACCTTTCAAACATGCAGTTTTCAAAAATTATTTTCCAACATTATCAAGTACAATGAATTATAATATATCTAGCAATAGAGTTTTAAATTTTGATCAATTTTACCTCTTCCTACTTCCTGAGTTCCTCTGAGAGCCATACCTATCCCATATCCAGCCTACTTTAAGGAGAAATTTCTGTCTAACTAGTGTGTCTATGTACTCTTGGTTATTGTCATACTCTGGAGCATATTCAATGTACCAGTAGTGACACCCTAATCAAAATAACTCTCTCAGCAAGGGGTAATAATCTTGTGTCAATCTCTTTTCTTCGTGCTGAGCTTCTGTCTGAATTATGTTTCACAGGTCTGGTGAATGCTCTTACAACCACTGAATGTTCATATGTGCAACTTCCCTGTTATATGTGTAAAACTCTCTTTCCTATACTCATCTATTCATTTTCACTCATACACTCTTTGAGCCTGCAGGAAGCATGGAAGTACTTGTGCTCACAGACAAGCACTAGGGAAATCAAGGATGTTAAAGACTCATGATAGTCTCTGTAAAGGAAGAGATGTATAAACTGTTTTCTGCCCAGAAGGCCAGGAATGGATGTGGTTACTAGCCTGGTGACCTCTGCACTGTCTATATGATCAGATGACATAGGCTCACCCAGACTCCAACATTTATCTCAGACAATCTATAACACAAACTTCCCTGAAACCCTTATGATGAGCATTGTTTATCTTGAGCCTGCTTCCTTAGTTAATCTATAGTATTTATTGTTATGGAATACATCACTTGTACTTTACCAGAGATTCAATATAATCATGTGTGAAGCTTTGTTGTACATATGGCATTAAGTTAATTATCACCAGAATTTTTTTTCCAAATTGTGCTGTGCTTAAAATGCCTGAAATAAACTACTTGATGTCAGACTAAGTTGAAGCAACACAGGCCACTGAGTTTTGTTGAACCAAATCTCCTTCTTGCCTCTCCTTGATCAATAGTCAGCTGGGCATGGTGTTTGCAGAGATCGCCCATACCAGCCTACTCTTCTGCAATGATCTCTGACACCTAGGAAGAGGGTTTCCTCTATCAATGTTCCATTTAAGGCTGAGCAATGCACAGACTCTTAGTCTCTATACCTTGACCAGTTGTGGATCTTTGTGTTAATTACCATAATAATGATAAATCATCAGTAGTCACTTAAATATTATGTCACTTGGGCAGAGTATTAACAGTCAGATCTCCCCTCTGGTCTATGACCTATCTACCTGTCCACAAATAATGAAGAAATTCTGTCCACAAATAATGAAGAAATGCTAAGGTAATATTTTTACTTCTGTAATCCAGAAGACAGCCACTGCCTGAATGTTGTATGTTTATTTAATTTGGTTTGCATATTATAGTGACATCATTATCTGAAAATCCACAGCTTGCAACAATGAATCAGTGAATAAATACATCAGAAAATGCTTTGAAGAAAAGCGATTCCAATTAAGATTATCCTCTTTTCAGTAAATACATTCAAGTACTGGTGGTAATAGGCAGCTGATGAGTTCTGTTTCTACCATCTCTTAGAATCTTTAACAGGAAAGGGAGGCGTGAATAGGTGATCTTTCTTCAATGAGATGTTGGGAAACTTTAATGGAATGTAGACTCTTAGTAATCTATCTAGAAGTCTTCTAGATAGGAAAATGTCCATGTCTGAACTCGTACTTGTTAAGATTCAGGACAACTATGAGTGTAGCTGAATTTCCCGGTAACTGCAGGAATTTCCTACTTAACAAGTCAA